AGAGGGAAAGGGGTTGAGGACTGTGGTGGGGGGGTGCAGGCTTACAGGGTACACCCCTTGGTTGGGTGAGGATGCATGGACGGGATGGTAACTATGCCAATGAAATGATAGATGATAGAATGAATGTAAATCTAAAGTTCTCCCTTGTAGACTATCACACAATTCACAATAAAACATTTATTAAAAAAAAAAAAAAATGTATCCCCTTTAACTAAAAAGAAACCATTTCCCAACTGAACACATATAAATTAAATTCTACCTCTTTTTCTTGACAAAAAAAAAAAAGAATTGGTCTGTGTTCCATCATTTTAAGAGGTACCATATGATCAATAAGGAGCTCTGGTAGCGTACAAATCGGGCTGCGAACCGCATGGTCAGCAGTTCGAAACTACCAGCTATTCCACGGGAGAAAGATGAGGCTTTCTGTTCCCATAAAGATTTACAGCCTCGGAAACCCTGTACAGAGTCGCTATGAGTCGGAACCGACTCCACAGCACATAACCACCATTTGATCAATAACCGATAGTATTAGAGGAAAAAGTCCAAATGTCACTGAAGGTATTGGCAGAAAAACAAGGCTCCGGGAATTGATGAAATATAAACTAAAATCTTTCAACCAATTGATTCTGCACTGGAGGTGTTCACTTGTATATGGTATGAAATTTGGAAGACAGATATCTGGACAACTGATTGGATGAGATCCATATTTGTGCCCATGCCAAAGAAAAGTGACCCAACAGAATGCAGAAATCATCAAACAATATTATTAATATCACATGCAAGTAAAATTTTGCTGAAAAATATCCAAAAACAGTTATGGTGGTACATCGATAGTGAACTTCCAGGAATTTAAGCCAGATTCAGAAGAAGATGTGGAACTAGAGATATCATTGCTGATGCCATATAAATCTTGACTGAAAGCAGAGAATATCAGAAAGATGTTAATTTGTCCTTTATTGACTATGCAAAGGTTTTTGACTGTGTGGATCATAACAAACTATGGAAAACATCAAGAAGAATGGGTATTCCAGACACTAATTGTGCTCATGACGAACTTGTACACAGACCAAGAGGCAGTCATTTGAGCAGAACAAAGGTATACTGAATGCTTCTAAATCAAGAAATGTGTGCACCAAAGTTGTATCTTGTCACCACACCTATTCCATCTGTATGTTTAACAAATAATCCAAGAAAGTGGATTGTATGAAGAAGAATTTGTCATCAGGATTGGAGGAAGACTCATTAACAACCTGCAATATGCAGATTATACAACCTTGCTTGCTGAAAGTGAAGAGGACTTGAAATACTGATGAAGATCAAAAACTGTAGCCTTCATTGGACTAGTGAAAGGAAATGTGGATAGGTCTCTTGTGATATATTAGGGAGTAATTGTTATCAGGGCTGATTGTGAGGGTTGGAAATGTAAAGGTAGATGTTTTACAGCATGGAGGAGAGTGATTAACTTTCCAGTCTAGGAGCAGAGGTCCCTGGGACCATCAAGGGAGAAGAGCGGAGAGTGGGACCCTACCCAGAGAAGCAGTGACGCCAGAGATAGAGGCAGAGACGATGACGTGGAGAGATGGAGCGGCTGGAGACTTAAGATGCAGAGAGGGAGAGGGGCTATGTGCTGACGACCGGGGGGTGGGGAGGTGGGCAGGCTTGCAGGGTATACCCTGTGGTTAATTGAGGATGCATGGAGGGGATTGTAACCATGGCAATGAAACAATATATGATAGGATGAATGTAAAACTAATGTTCTCCCATGTAAACTATCACAGAATTCACAATAAAACATTAAAAAAAAAAAAAAAACAAACAAACTAAAGACCTCAATTCAAAAATTAAAAATAAAACCACATATAAAAGTTACTTTAACAACTGGACCATAAATGACATTTTGAAAAAAAGACTGAAGTTGTCAAAGAGTTCATTTTGCTTGGATCCACAATCAATGCTCATGGAAATAGCAGTCAAGAAATCAAACCATGTATTGCATTAGGCATATCTACTGCAAAGGATCACTTTTAAGTGTGAAAGAGCACTAAGGTGTACCTTAACCTAAGCTATAATATTTTCAATCACCTCATATGCATGAAATCCTAGTAGCATGATGGATTACAAACTGGGCTGATAATCACAAGATCAGTAGTTCGAATATACCAGTTACTCCCCAGGAGAAAGATGAGACTTTTTGATCCCTCAGAAACTCTATACAGAGTAAGTATAAGTCAGAACGGACTCAGTGGCACACAACAACCAACATATGCATGTGTAAGTTGGACAAGGAATAATTGGAAAAAAAAATTTTTCACCTTAAGATTATTTCCTGCCAAATTCAGCCATTCCAAATGTACTAGCTCCTTTAGTCCTTCCACGTAGCCAATGCTATTATGAGGCAAATTTAACACCCGGAGTTGAGTCAGTTTGGCCACACCCATCATCCTTACAAGCCGATTATTAGCCACTGACAACTGTGAAAAGGAAACATCTCATTATCCTTGGGAATAAAATATATATCTTCCTGTTACGTTTTAGTTAAAAAGCTTATTTAAATGGTCAAGCATCCCCAAATACATAAATCTGTACTTTTTAGATAATAGTATATTATCTAAATATTCCACAATGTAAATATTAGGGGTTTTGTTAATGTTACTAAGCAATGGAAAATACGGATTAAGCTGAGTAATCAGACCAAGCCCAACTACGAAAGAGAAAACATTTTAACATGGCAACAATTAAAGCTCTACAAGAACAAGGTCTTTATGCTATCTTACTCAGGATGTGAACAGTGCCAGACAACAGGAAAAAACCCACTGCCATTGAGTTAATTCCAACTAATGATGACTCTAACAGAAGCCCAGTAAACATTTGCTGAATTAATGAATGAATGAACTTTTTACCCCTATTGTGAGGTAGAAGGTTATCTTAGCAACACAATATTCTGCCAACATAAAAATGTTTTAATTTTTAACAATGCTTCTTCTAGTCCACTCTACACATAGCACAGGCGTTTTCATCTTCATGAGAAATTATCAAACAAAATGATTTGCTGTTTTCCAGGCCTGTAGGATTATTTTTTGTTTGGTTATTTTAATGTTTTATTTTGTTTAATAACAATGGTTCTATGTTATGATTTCCCCAGATAATAATGCTTACCTGTATTAATCGTCTACATTTCTCAAGATTTTCCAATTTAATAATTTGGTTTTTATCCAGAATCAAAGTATGAATATCCGCTTCACAAGGTAAATTTGAACCTAATTTCTGTAGTCCTTGACCTGACCAATTGACCACTGATCCTTGAAAAATAGAAGGGAAATTATTGGAAAACACAAATAAAGCAAATACAATAGCTGAGCATAAGTATGAAATTACACTCATTTGAAAATCTATACATTTAAGACTTTAAAACACTGTTTTTATTGTTGTGTACCATTAAGTCAATTCTGACTCATATGAGTAAGAAACACAAGCACATAGTAAATACCAAGAATTTAAAAGGAAACCAGTTCTAAATGACCACATATTTAAATTACTCACTTTTCCTCAGAAATACAACAGTACTCCTAGATTTGTGATTTTCTGCTCAAGTCTCTACAGCCTTTTGGAATTCTCCACATTTATATATGAGTTATTACTACATATTTTATGGCCAAGTAATAGCTTTTTTAAAAATAAGAAGTAAACTTTTTATAAAGATCAACTTGCTTACAACCTAACTTCTAGCATATTATCAAGTATTTTTCATATTGTAGTTCAGTTCTCTCAGGAAAAAGAGATTATAGACAAAGGCTGTTAACCAGAAGCTTTTTACTAAGTTAAAGCTCCACTGGTTGCCTTTCTACTCCATAAATGCCTTTGTACAACCTGAGCCAAAATCACTTTTCTTTCACATTAGGATGACAGTATACATTACAGCCCAAACCAGAACAATTTTTATAGTGAAAGGTGATGCTAGAAATCACAAGTAACATAATATCTAAAGACTTACTGGCATACAGCAATTACAGTGAGGTGCTATGGAATAAAGCACTGGATCGAAAGGTTGGTTTGAACCAAAAGGTTAGTGGTTCAAATTCACCAGTCACTACTCAGAAACCCAGTCGGAGTCAACTTGATAACAACAACTGGCACACAGCACTCATAAAGCACTTTAGTATAACAGAACAGATGTTTAAATCCTGGCCCATCATAATTGTTGTTAAGTGCCGTCAGGTTGGTTCTGACTCATATGAGTATGTACAGGGTTTCCGAGGAGCGGCTGGTGAACTAGAACCGCCGACATTGCAGTTCAAACCAACCTTGCAGTCCAGAGCATTAACACGCAGCACCACACCAGGACTCCTCATCATGATTACCCATTGTGGTATCTTGGGCAAGTTATTTACTTTGAGCTCACTTGCCTTACTCTGGAGAACGGGGATGATAATGGTAATACCTGTCTTATAATGTTGTTCTGTACAGTTCTGGTGTGGCACTGTGGGTTAATGCGCCAGACTGCAGTTAAGTATGAACTGCAAGGTCGGTGGTTCAAGCTCACCAGCTGCTCCTTGGAAACCATATACAGGGTCGCTATGGGTCGGAACCGACTTTACGGCACTTACCAACAACATACAGAAAACGAGATACTGTAAGAAAAGCATTTGGAACATCTTCTGGCTCAAAATAAATGTTCTACAAATGTTACCCAAGGAGCTCTGGTAGCGTAGTGGTTAAGAATCAAGCTGCTAATCTCAAGGTCAGCAGTTTGAAACTACCAGCAGTTCCGTGGGAGAAAGATGAGGCTTTCTGCTCCCGTAAAGATTTACAACCTAGGAAACCCTGTGCAGGGTCGCTATGGGTCGGAACCGACTTGACAGCGCTTAACAACAACAAAATGTTACCATGGGGTCGGTTTGAACTACAAGGTCTATCGTTGAAACTCACCAGTTGCTCCTCAGAAACTCCTGTTGTTGTTAAGTACCATGGAATTGGTTCCGACTCATAGTGACCCCTGTACAGGGTTTCCAAGGCTGCAAATCTTTACGAGAGCAGAAAACCTATCTTTCTCCCGCGCAACAGCTAGTAGTTTCGAACTGCAGACCTTGAGGTTAGTAGCCCGATTTGTAACCACTACGCTACCAGAGTTGGAACCGACTCAACGGCACATAACAACAACAACACACACACACACACATATATATATATATATATATATGCATGTATCTATGAATATTCCTGGTGTAGAGCTGCAGGATCAGCACTGGACTGCTAACCACAAGGTCAGTAGGTCAGCAGTTCAAAACCACAAGGTGCTCCTTGGAAACCTTATATAGGGTTGCTATGAGTCTGAACCGACTCAACAGCACTTACCAACAGTATGTATGTATGTACATGCACATATACATGTATATGTGCATACATATGTATTGTTGCTGTTTTAGTGCAATTGAGTCGGTTCTATATAGGGTTTCCCAGGAACGGCTGAAGAGTTGGAACTTCCGACCTTGTGGGTCAAATGGACCTTGCAGTCCAAGGCTTTATCCCACAGCGCCTATGGAGTCCTGGTGTAAAGCTGTAGGATCAGCACTGGACTGCAAACCACAAGGTCGGCAGTTGAAAGTCACCAGCCACTCCTGGAAACCCTATATAGGGTTGCTATGAATTAGA